GAGAGAGAGACGAGAGAGAGAGGAGAAGAGAGAGAGAGAGAGAGAGAGAGAGGAGGAGAGAGAGAGAGAGACGGAGAGAGAGAGAGAGGGAGAGAGAGGAGAGAGAGAGAGAGAGACGAGAGAGAGAGAGAGAGAGAGAGAGAGAGAGAGAGAGAGGAGAGAGAGAGATGGAGAGAGAGAGGGAGAGAGAGAGAGAGAGAGAGAGAGAGAATTTGATATATATTAACACAGAGAAATGCATCTCTAACCTCCATCGAAGAACTTCCCCTCAATGAATTCCTCAACCCCTAATTCCTCCAGGCCGATGCCAATGAGCCTCACACCAGCCTGGGCAAGCTGTGGGGCCAAGAGACTAAGCTCTTTGGCTCCCACACGGCAGAACATTCATCCAAACCGTCGCATGAAAAGGAGGACGCAGCCTCCTTCTGCCCAGAAGCTGCTCATCGTCACATCCTGCAGATTAAAGTTGGCATTCAAATTAAAGTTTAATATGATTAATATAACTGTTCAAATTAGGACTACATGTAAAAGCCTCCATATGTATATTTAAGGGGAAGAGCTTGGACTGCTTCCTTATTTCATGACAAACTATATGGGAAGTTCACAAGTTCTATCTTCTTACTGGAATATAAGCCTTTGACTTTGTTGAAATACAAAGAATATCTACTTTAAGAAAAAAAAAAATCTTTATCATCATATACCACTAAATACAAATAAATCCGAATATTTATATATACTAATACCAGTAATTTTCAGTTTAACACAGCCATGCAATCTTGCAATCATTATTCCTTCTTTCAATCACCCACACTGTCATATGTGTGAACCTCTAGTTATTTTCCAACGCAAATGATATAAATGAAAGTATGGGTAATATTCACCAAATTCTTTGGACCTTAACCTTATGAGATTTAGTCCCTATTACTCCAGCTATTCCTGGGTAATCCACATGCTGTATGAAACAAAAACCCTCCAAGCTCAGGGCTTTGCCTCCATATCCCCATCTGCTCCCACCAGTCACTGTGGATTTACTCTCCATGCATGTCGCAACTTATTTTCTTCATTCTTTACTGTATTCTTTGCCTATGCAGTTTATTTCATATATTGGTGTGAGGTTTTTCTCTTTGATTATCATAATACCATAATTGGACAACTTATTGTCAACTTGCAAAGATTAAAAGTCTTACTTTTGGTAATTTTGTCCATTACAGGCAAATTTTACCTTATACTACATTGTTGTGGGAAACTGAACCCTGATAGCAATATACCTGCCCGTCATGGCAAATTTGCTACTAGTTGATAGGTATTTGTTACTAAGAGTGACGCACAGAGATTGAGGGAAATGGACACATTGCCATCTAATAGAGCTTAGGAAATAGTCAAACAATACAGGCACAGCTACTGCGGCTTAATATTTGCTGCAAAATTACTAAAATATCCAATGCTTATGACTGCTAAAAAACAGTTTATTATGCCGACCCCAAAATCCAAACCTGGCCTTTCATCCCTTCCTTCTATTTATTTCCTAAACATGGGGGGCCAGCCCCCCTACACCCCCCTTTCTTCATACTTTGTGCCAACTTGTAGAAAACTGACATTAAAAACTATGGCTGTGTGAGGGTGTTGTGGACTGTTTCTAATCGGTGATACACAGAAGATACTTTCGTCATTTTGTCATTTCACAGTAAAAATGAGGCTGCTGTAGCTGTACCTGTGTTGTTTATGACTATTTCTTAAGCTCTGTTAGATGGCAGTGTCCTTTCCCCTTTACCTTTGAGTGCCACCTGTAAAATAAAAAGTGTGACAAATATCAATTAGGTGCATCTGTGAGATTATCACGCTGGGGGTGTCCTTCGATGGGGCTGGGGGGCAATTACCCCCTCCCTCCCAAAGGCCACACACCCCAAATTTTTCTGCCGGTAATTTATACCATTTATACTTTTGTAGCTCTGCTTCGTGGCTTTAAGGTGCTCCTGGAATAGCTCTTTACTATTTAATGGTGGGGTGGGGGTGGGGTGGGGGGGCAGCGCCTGAAACTATTTCGTTCGCATCGCCCGCCCACTTCTCCCCCTCCCCCCCCTCGCCCAAAGAAAGGCTGAAAGACGCCCTACTGTCAAGAACTGTCATTTATGGCGAAAGTACACCCCCTATTCAAAACTTTACGTCGAAATTACTTATAATCATCAAATAGAAAGAGAATGAGGTATAACGCCAATAAATCAACCGAACGCCAAAGCCGTGAGTCACTCACTAAATAATAAACTACATCATGGCAAATATTCTTTGACACCATTAAAAACAAGACATACCTCCTTAGTATCAGCTTTCTTGACGATATTATCGGCAATCTTGTCGAGTTGAGCCATTATTTCGAATTGTAACTAAAAAATGTTACAAGAGAGACGAAATGTGGTCCTTCCTCCCCGTGCCTGGCGAGTGACT